CATGAGAGGTTTTTGGACAAAGTTTGTGTTTTTTCCATTGTTTAAGCACTGCTTCCAGCCAAGAGTGATACCATATATGCCCCATAGCTGCAGAAAAGGCTAACATTGTTATCTTTTTAAAAAAAACAGCTGAACATGAGAGGTTTTTGGACCAATTTGGTGTTCCCCATTCTTTAAGCACCAGTTTAAGCACCGTTTAAGCACCGGCACCATTTCAAAAGTACCGGTTTGGCACCGGAATCGGATAAAACCTAAACGATACCCATCCCTAAGTAACACTTTGCTTCTACTTATCATCTCTATCGTCTTAATTCTCCTTCTTAATAATTTGTAGAAGACGCAACAGAGTCCTGTGAAAACGTTTTCACATAACTTTACTGTCTTTTCTATAAAGTTTAATGGTTAAATAAAAATAGAACTACTGTCATAACCGTCATAATGAACGTCTTATGACTTTATGCCAAACAGTTAACTCTCACAAACAGCTTTCATGTGTAGAGCCTCAGCATCTCTGCTGCATCACAGAATATCAGGTATGTTTGATAAGGGCAGGGCTTGCTCCAGACGCAACTGTGGGGGTCTGGAGCAGTGGGGCGCCCACCTGCACACAGCAGGGTGGAGACAAAGCCCTGGCAGATGTGTGTTATGACTGTGTGACCTTCCATCTGAGTCTCAGATGATACCAGTTGTGTCTGTAATGAGCTGTGCGTGTGTCCTTGATAATCTGAAGACACTGAATCCCTATTGTGGCTGCTCATTTTGCCAGGAACAAGGTTTAATAGATAAAGTAAAAGTTTTGCGAACAAAGAGGCAAGTTCAAAGCACAGGAATGCAATATCTTATAATCATGGGGTTTGAATAATTAGTTAAACACTGAGGCTCTCAGGTAATCTACTATGTCTTGTTTGGGGTCTTTCCCTGAACAACTTTAATTAGGAAAGAATGTATGTGAGCGTGTGTTTACCTGTCTCCTTCTCCTCTTGTCCGATATCTGCTACTATGTCATCTATGGTGTCGGGGACCACATTACACTGCTCCCCCTGTGCACACGAGGAAAGATGTGACCACACACTTAATCACTACCAAAAGCATGTTGACAAAGCGTGACTTTGAGACTTTAATTCTGAAGTTAAAAATAGTAGTTTAACATAGGATGAATAACACTAATTTAAGGCAGACCGCTTATTCATTTACCTTTTTTTCTGCTGTGTATGTACGTACTATATGAATTTTAAATAATAAATTACTTCAAAGTACTTCATTTCATAAAGTACAGCCGCCCACCTACTCCTGAAATCTTTTGTTTATGAGGGCCAGCCAATCAGGAAAAAGGTTGGCCTAAAGGGAGGGAAAAGGAGCTAAAACAAGGTCCAGCAAAGGTCCCTGTAATTAGGGATAATTTTTAATTGTCATGCATAGATACTTTAGTATCTTCACTGCAGTGAAGTATCTTTGCATGGCAATGCAAAGATGCTTTTTGATACTTCAAAAAGCAGTGGGAAAAACTGCATGGGTCACATGAGGTGAGACTAGTACCTGTGCTGGTGAGCTAATTAGCAAGCAGGTTTGTCATCTGCTGACCTTCACTGGCTTTGCTAACCATTATTATAACACAAACTCAGATTCTAACAAATCCCACAATTAACATAAAAAGCTCACTGATGGCTGTGTGTGACTGGCATTTTTATTAGTCAGATTCAAAACTTTTTCTATGTTAACTTTTTAACCATCTGCAGCAAAGGCATCAACCACAGTAGAATTTCACATAATTTCCTATGAATTAAACTGTGTGCCTTTATTTGTGGTTGGGATTCAAACGTCCCTTATTTCAACATGAAATAAGTTAGGCGTGAAAGTACACGTAAAATAGATAAGAGCCAAAAATCAAAATCGCTATTGGCATCTGTTTCGGCCAAATTTTTATATTAAACATCAGTGTAAGAATCGGTCCCTTTAAGGTCTCACCACAGTAAAAAGCTAAAATGTATAGTTGTGTTTATTTGAAGCGCTAAACACATTCACACAGATGAAATTTTTACCTTTCTAGCAATGCGTTCCACCACTACCCTGGCCACAGGGGTGATTGCTCCGCCCTCTGGGTCATAGAACGGGCTCTGGAGGTGGTCCAAACTGGTCAGAGGTCGGATCTTCTCCTGAGGAACGGTGGGCTTGTTTGGTGACTAAAAGAGGCAGAAGAAAGGGTGTCGATGAGCTTATAAGGTGTTTAACATGAACTATAAAAAAAATAATAAAGCATTTATATTATAAGTGACTCAAATGACTGTTAGTGGAGGATAAAATACAAGTACATGCTTACAAACCTAATGATATTAATTTCTATTATGTTTAAGATGTTTTATTGGTTTAAACATTATATAGATTGCTGCATCCCTGTTTTATGCTTTTAGTAATCTCTCTGGGCAAAAATATTCCACCATAGCAAAACTAGACTGATGCTATCGCCCAACTAAAGGCAGACCTGCTATACTGAAATCCAAATCAAAGGGCTCTTACTTTTCACTTTTATCTCCCTAGGTAGATGTCACAGAGTTTCAACGTGAATCTAAAGGTGAATCAGCTCTGACGGCTCTTTAATAATCAGGGGAAAGCGGACGTGTCCAAATAATATGCAATGGCTAAAGATCGGGTCGTGAACTGAAAGAGAGCTATTCACACTCTCCCATATTAGGATTGAGCAAAGCACTTGGTCTAAGAAGAGATGGGGTCCTAGAGGAAAACATCTGCTCTCCTATATTGTGCATCCAAAATGCCTGAAAGAAGAGAGTCCCTGTCCTCCACTGAGGAATGGTTAGAGTAATTAAAGTTAAACAAATATTTAGGGCATGGCAATTATTTGTGGGACAAGAATACTAATCCAATAGCGGCCTTTTGTGAATGCATGTCTGTGAAACAGGCTTTTAAAATGGGAACAACAGAATTCTTCTTGAGTGAAGCAAACAATACAGAAGTGGCTTATTCATAGTAGAATAATTAACAAAAAATGAATAGCAACACAATAGCTTTTTGATTTTGATTTTCCATTCTGTTCCAAAATGGAGAGGTGGGGAAGTAAAAAAGGCGTTAAAGATCTTATCGAGTCACAGATTTTCCCATAAACCACCTGGTCTACAGCTTCATTTCTGTTTGATCTCCCCATGCATCATTTATATCCATTCAAACAGACCCTTAATAGGAGATACTTTGTTTCCAGGTATGTGTGTGTCATAGCATGTGTTGCCATGTTCAGTGAGGAGATAAAAACATGTGACAATAATGAATTATTCTCTGTGTTCTCTCAAGGTAACAGCGTCCTGTTTTGATGTATTTTAATATATTCAGCACCACTAAATAAGCCATTAGAGGGGGTACAATGTTACACTCTCATCTCCACTGCAATAGTGTTAATGATTCTCTTCATAACTCTAGCATGGTGATGCTTCGGCGCTGTGTTGGAGCTATGCAGAGCTTTGCAGGTGCACATCTACATGTTAGAGTTGTTTATTGCCACCACAGAAGATGTTAAAATTAACAGGAAATGATTTAAGCGTTACTTTTAATTCAAAAGTTTTCACATAGGAATTAGAGCCATAAAAAAATCTCCACTTTGATATAGTTATACATATATTGTATCCAGTACGGGTCCATACTGGCTTGGATGTCGCCCAGATTAACAAGGTCCGCGTCAGGTGTTGAGGAATCAGGACACCCTGATGAGAAGTGCGCTTCTGGAACAAGATGGCATAGGTGGGTAAGAGATGAAAATAGGGTGCTGTTGGAATTTTACTACACAAGTAATCCGAGAGGAAGGGGTTACATGAATAGCATGAGTGACCTATGGAATCTTAGATACCCAGGATCCAGATTGATGGCGAAACAACTAGTAGCTCAGTGTTCCAACACTAGGAAGAAGGAACTGCTCTCACAGCTGGAGATTGATGAGGTACAACACAAATGCTACGGCAGGGGGGAGCCAGGACCATGGGTCGGGGGGCAGACCACAGCAACCTCCCTGAACAGGGTCCAGTAACCATCACAGTGGCAGAAATCCAAGAAAGGCAGGAAGAGTTGGACAGCACCAGGCCCTGACATGGTACCACATGGTAGCTCCTGTCAGGCATCATAGTGGCTAAAGGTTGTCAACAAAAGAATTGTGGTTACTGTAACTTATGCATATTATGTATCTGCTTGACGCAAGAAGGGGTGTGATACCCTGGCATATAAAACATTTTAAGTATGCTTTCTAGTGGGGATTTATGCTGAGGATTGTGATGGTGTATTTCTTCCCACACGTGTGTTTAACAAAATCATTGTGTTGACGCACTTGGACCACTGGTCGTTTGTCTCACACCTCAATCGCGAATCGGGACAATGA